TATCCTGGTCAAGATATAGAGAACCATTCCCCTGAGAATGTACCAGATAACACCTCCATTCCTGTGAGTATTTCATGTGATTTTCCTTCATCTTTGTACCATTTACCTGTATGATTTATGCCATTTGATTTGTCAGTAATTTCCTTTCAATATTTTATTTTTATGAGTTGCGAATATCAAACATATAAATAACATTTGGTTACTTTCTCGAGATTTGAAAGGACTGAAATTAACTCTAAAACTGTCCTAGAGACATGACAAAAATCCGTTCTGAAATTATTTCGTAGACACTCTATCTCCTCTAACCAACCAAACGCAACCATATGGATGATACTTACTGATAATTAACATTTGAACTAGAGGATAGTAAACCTTAAATTTGTTCCTCTCATCTTTTCTCTGCAAGTATTTTTCACGCTCTCAAGAATTTAAACATTTCTTCAGGGTAAAGGGCTCTTAACAGCACCTAACAAAGAATGGAAGTTGGTCCAAGTGAGTGTTTCACCAGGCACAGATCTTAATGTTGACACTTGCAACTCTAGTGCAAGGCAAGAACCTGAAGGAGATACTACTAATATGCTAAATTCATCTTCACATACAAAAGAAAACGAGCTAGCCCTCAAGACACTAGCAAAATCTGTTTTCGAACTACAACGAACTGAGGATTCTGGCGATCCCACTGTTTCAGACCTTTCACATTTTTCAGACCTTTCACATTCCAAAAAGGTGTCATTTGCTTTTCTTGGCAAGAAATACTGAATTCCTGAGTTTTGCATTTAATACTATATGCCTACAAATTTCCCTAATAATTTCTCTGATTATTATGTTAAGTGCAGGCAATCAACCCAGACGCTTCTAGTGAAGGTGAGTCAGAACATCTCAAGATTATTTCTCCCTTTACAAATTGTTGTTTGGATGCTCATGATGCACTCCCCCAGTGCAGGGCCACATGGAAGTCACGAACATTTTGATGAAGGATCCATTTTTGATAGCATTCCACAAGACTTTATTTGCCCTCTCACCGGACAGTTGTTTGACGATCCGGTGACACTGGAGACCGGCCAAACCTTTGAGCGGGAGGCCATCCGAGAATGGTTTGATCGGGGAAACAAAACATGCCCTGTATCAGGAAAAACTTTAGCATGTTCAACTGTGCCACTTACCAACTCTATTTTGAAGCTTGTCATCGACAGCTGGAAATCGGTGAAAGAATATTAGCTATTATAATCTATTCAGCAATGTTTAAATATAATTTTGGGATCGAAATTATGTACCATTGCGAGTCATGATGAATAAATTATGTACTTCTATAGAAAAACAATTTATATTTTCCCACTTGTTTCTCTAACCCCATTTTGTTCAAGAAAAAACAAAATAATTTTGACTCACTTAAAAAAACACTTAACACTCATGAATTTAATTTTGAAAAATAGTTGATAAGTTAACCAATTAGGTTTCCAGCATGAGTCACAACGGTTCCATTCCCTTCTATGAACTATGATATTAACAACAATCATAAATCGCCTAGAAGACATTAACATGTTCCTTGTAAGCTTGGTAGGATGGGCTCCTGTTTGTTTTTAGTTTTTAGATAGATGAGGATCTAGTTTTTGCCAAGATTTCTAGAAGAAGCGATTTTTTAAAAAATTTATTTGAGTATATTTATCTTATTTGTTTAAAAAAAGTTGGGTGAAATGTATTAATTTTACCATTAATTTCAATCCTTTTTTCCCAATTAAGATATTATTTAATATTAATTGAGATAAACATTATCTTAGATGATTTTAAGAAAAAAATAAATAAAATAAGACAAGATAAACATTATCTTTATATAAAATGATATTTTTGCAACCTAATAAAGTGAAATGATTTTGAAAAAAATTAGATAAGATAAATATTATTGGTGAAGTAAAACCTGATTTTAACTACCATGTGGGATAATAATTTTGACAAAATTTAAATAAAATAAGTGTTATCTCTTAAATAGAACGAGTTCTTAACAACTATGAAATAATTTTTTTAAAATATATAAGATTACATTATCTCTCAAGTGAAACGAGTTTTTAACATATAATTAGATAAGTTAAAATTAAATGAAAAGCATATAATTGGCAATTAAAAAAATAAAAAAAATCAAGAATTCATATTCATGAGATATTGTATAGATGTGTCCTTATTTGGTGATGAAATAAATAACATTATTAAGATAATATTTAATTATTATATCGGGATGAAAGAGATGAAGATAGTAAAAACAAAAATAAATTTGGTTAAAAACACTAAAACAAAGAAAGAAATATAAAATAAATATATTTTTGGGATAATTTTTAAATGAATTTCTATATTTTTAAAATATTTTTAAGTGAATATTAGAAAACTCTATTTAAGTAAGAAGAAGTGATATTTTAAATTAAATAGCTAGGATCCAAATTTGAAAAAAAAAGAAATAAGCCTTAAAAGGTTCCCCATTTTAATATTCATTTGGTTTAACTGTGTGTCTCTATATAAACTAGTATGCACATTTCATTTTATTACATATTAATTCTAGGGTGGTTAATTTTTTGGTGCAATTTTTCTTCTTTAAAATCCTAAGCCAAATTCTATATCAATAACCCAAGAAAATGCTATCTCAAGCCATTTTTATAGTACCGTTTTATATCAAACTTTTATATCTTTTTTCATGAAAAGTTCTTCATAACCAAAACTATCGCTATAAACATCACCCAAAATCGCCATTAACTCATATCACTGCTTATTTTGACATGTGCTAGCTCCTATTTCTCTCATAATATCATTACTCTCATTTTATAGTGAGTCAAGACATGTGATACATCTATGTATATGTTGTATAGGCTATGAGTCTTTCCATCATCTCTAGCTTTAGTACCAGGAAGTGATTGACCTGCAGAACAACTTGAGAGCTCATAATGACATTCTTAGATAGGATACAAGAAGTTGGAGAGATTAAGGAACTAGGCTACTAGATCTGTTGTCATTTTATGCCATAGTTGCTTGGCTAGGAGAAAGGAAGGATTGAGTGGGAGATAAAGAGTTTTGAAAATATGAGGATATTTTGACTTACTACTTATTAAAAAGTACTTTTTTTTTTTAATAATAACTAGCAAGTCACAAAATATTCTCTCATATTTTCACAACTCTCCTATACATTTTCTTCTCAACAACCTCCCTACCAACTTAGTAATCATGGCACACAACGTCAACATATTTAGTAGACTTAACTCCCCGTCTCTGTACCATTTTTGTTTCTTGTTTAAGAATACCATGCAGATTAATCACTCGCTAGCACTAAAATAGAGGATGATGGAAGGAATCACAACCTATATGACAAGTACAAGCATCACATGTTTTTACTCGTTACAAAATGACAGTAAAGATTATTTCTCTTTTTACAAAATGTTGTATGAATGCTTACAATGCACTCTCCCAATGCAGGGTCAAATTGAAGTTATAGATACCTTGATGAAGGATCCACATGACTTATTGATTTAGCTTATCACTAAATAGTTGTTTGACGATCCAGTGACCTTGTAGACTAGCCAAACCTTTAAGCAAGAGGGCATTAGAGAATGGTTTGATCAGGGAAACAAAACATGCTCTGTAACAGGAAAAACTTTAGCATGTTCTACCGTACCACTTACTAAATCTATTTTGAAGTATGTCATTGATAACCAATATAATTTTAGATTTGGATCATGTAATATGATGCTTGACGAAGAAATCTCCCTTCTTTTTTTGTCTTTTTAACACCTAACCTTTGTAATTGATGAAAAACTATGTATGTTTGTACATGTCACTTTATTATTATATATTTGATTTCATGTGTACATGGTAGAGAAGAAGGACAATTTAATTATTAAGTATACTCATCTATTATGATTCTTTAAATTCCTCTTGATGATCATTATTAATAAAAAAATTAATAGGTGAATGTAACTTATCAATTTTATAAGTACAAGTTAAATACAAATACTAAAACAAGTTTAGCGAGCTACTTTTATGGGAAAATAATTTCATTTTTCCATCTTTTTTCTAACCCAATTTTGTTAAAAAAACCAAAATAATTTCGACCCACTTGAACTTATACCAAGAAAAACTTGACACTAATGAATTTGACTTTAGAAAATAGCTGTTAAACTAATTAAAATGATGTTATAGTATTATAATTAACTGTTAGACCAATTAAAATGATATTGATAACCATCACTAATTAAATCTTTTATGGTTAAATGATCAATATAATTTTTTTTCATCAAACAAATGAAGAATGGAATTTTTTTATACTAATTTTATATAACTACTTCATTATAAAAAAGTAATATCAATTATAAATTGCCTAGAAGACCTAATAACCTGTTCCTTTAAGAGGTAATCCCTTAATCAATGGATCAACAATTATATAAGTGATACTAATGTTTTCAATTTACAATTGTTGCATTGGATTTTTTTTTAATAACTAAATAATTCAACTATAAATGCTTTATATCATGGGTGCTTTTATTTCAACAAAGGATCCATTTTTGATAGCATTCCACATAACTTTGTTTGCCTTCTTACTAGATAGTTGTTTGAGGATCAAATGACCTTAGAGAATAGTCAAACCTTTAAGCAAGGAGAGGATCAAAATTTCTTCAAGGGTGTTTATTTTAGCTTTTATGGTTAAGATTATCATTGGGTACAACTTAGTTATGCATAAAATTCAACCATAAAAACTAATTTTTCTTGTTTTTGTTAGCTTTTTTGGTAGGTCCCCCACCAACACCTCAACCTCCACCTCTAAAAGAAATTCAAATGAATTTGATAAATATTTTTATTAAAAAAAAGATTTTTAACAACTACATAAGGTAAAATAACTTCAACAAAAATTGGATAAGATAAATATTATTTAGTAGGTGGAGGATCAAAACTAGATAAGATAAACATTATCTCTTAGATGAGATTGTGGAGGATAAAAACTAGTTATTATTTAGTAGGTGTTTATCTTAGCTTTTATGGATGAGATTGTGGTTGGGTACAACTTAATTATACACAAAACTCAACCATAAAAACTAATTTTTCTTGATTTTTTAGTTTTTTTGGTGGGTCTCACACCCAAACCTCAACCTTTACTTCTAAAACAAACATAAATAAATTTGACAAATAGTTTTGTTAAAAAAAGGATTTTTAACAACCATATCGGGTAAAATGACTTTAACAAAATTTGGATAAGATAAATATTATTTAGTAGGTGGAGGATAAAAACTAGATAAGATAAACATTATCTATTAGATGAATTATAAAAATAAGATAGGATAGATGTTATTGGTTAGACAAATAATAAAATATAAGATAATATAAATGAGTTTTTAACAACCATGAAGAGATATTGTAAATGTAGTATAAGATAATGTTTAATTAATATCTCAAGATAGAAGAGACATAGAAAATAAATATGAAAACTAGTTTGGTTAAAGAGATGAAGACATAGTTAGAAGCATAAAATAAATTTGTCTTTTAGACAATTCTTGAGTAAATTTCTATGCTTTCAAAACATGAAAAACGTAAATACACATGTCACTTAACCCCACTATCCGTATCTTTCTTGTTTTGAAACTAGATATGTTGCCCGTGCTTTGTTGTTGGCTGGGTTGAATTTTTGCTAACATAAAAAAATCAAAGGGATTTCAAATGATGAAACAAAAAACAATTATTATTTTTTAAATAGTGTTGAAGAAAAAACCCTTGAGACAACCCGTTTAATTTGACTAATCAACCATTTGTGATATGAGATAATGATAAAAAAAATTATACTATCAAAAGAAAGACCCCACAAAAAAGATTGAAATTCAATAAAAAAACACATAAAAAAGGTGAAAAAATCACAAAGATCAAATGCCAATAATTTAACTCCAAAAGTATAAAGTTGAATTTTTTTTAAAAATAAACATCAAGAAAGAAACGCCAATTTGAAAAAAACACCTATTTTTAGAATATGAGATCTAGATAATCAAACAACAAGGAAAGTGAAACATATAACAAAGTTCAAGGCTTAATAACCAAAATTTCAAATGAAGAATTTGAAAAAAATAAATTAATTTTAATAAAAAAGACAAAAAAATGAAATCAAATTTGATTCGTGAGACTGAGATTGCACTATGCAAAGAAAAACATGAAAAAATATTGAAGAAAAATCTTCAATCTCAGTAAAAATTTAAAATCCAAACAATGCCGACCAAATCTTATTTAAAAACTAAATGAGAAAAATAATAAGACACTAAAATGAAAAAAGTAATTAAGAAAGGGATAAAAAAATAGTAATTAGAAGAATGAAAACCCAAATTGGATAAAAAAACTAAATAAAATAAGATAGTGAGGGACAAAATTGAAAAAAATACAAATAAGAAAAAGGATAAGAAAATAGTAATAAAAAAATAAAGACCAAAATTGAATAAAAAACAATGACAATGAAATGATCCAGGATGAAATTGAAAAAAAAATAAATTAAGAAAAGGATAAAACACTAAAAAAGAACAATAAAAAATATAAGGACCAATTTGGATACATAAATCAAATTAAATAAAATTTATCAGGAATGGTATTTTGACTATATATATATAGGTTTGTTTATGTGATAGTAGAATGACACAATCCTTTCAACCTAATTTCACAATTCTAAGAAAAAGCCAGTGACACGACTAAAAGATTGATGTCTTCTCCCAAGTGTAGGAGTGTCGAAGTAATAAATAACCCGGCAAGACCGGGGTCGAACCACAGGGAGGTTAATTGTAAAAATTATAAACAACAATTA